GTGGGATTTGAACCCACGCACAAGTGTAAAGATATTGAATTACAAATTGCTTCACGAAGCTTGTACAACCCTTTCTAAAATCGTTAAAGCAGAAGACAAAACTAATAATTAAACTTGTCGAGCAAGTGCCTAAAGTACATTGTAAACTAGAGCAGAAGAGGGGAAAATCCATGTTCGAGAAGAGCAAAAAAAAAAACTAAATATTTGGAGCGACTCAAGACTATGGTGAACAATTTAAGGGTTGTAATGAGCTTAAGCAGTGTGCATAATCGAAGCATTTAAGTTTTAACCAAAAAGGAAGAAGGAAAACCTGTTGAAGCGTGCAATCGTTGTAAAGAAAGATTCATCGGAGGGTAACCGTAGCGATAGCCAAATAACAGGATAATATCTTGCCTAGAACAGCAGTTTCGGACAATTAACGCCAAAACAATATCATGATTTGTCGAAACAAGGGACAGAGCTCGATAGAACTTTACCAAACTGAACGAGATGGCATTTTGCAATACGAAGGCATATTTGAAGAGGTACAACAACCCCTGTTCAAGCCCCGATTTAGTGCCTAGGGTTATATAAATTTCAGTGACTCGGACGATGAATTGGAAGACGTATGCGATGGTGAATCAAAATAGGTTGAAGGCTTTTGGAATAATTGACAGTGATTTCAAATTAAGAGTAAAAGAGGGCTGAAATCAACAGAATGTTAACGAGGGTTTCTTTTGCTTTGGGAGAGTTGGGATTGGGGAAGGGGAAAGGAAAATAATTAATGCCCATTTTTCTAATCAATTAGTACTAATTAGTTTTACCGTCCGGATATTAAGTCTTTTAAAGGCTGTATATTGTCCCTTCGTTAATATGAAGTTAAAAATTGGCTTTAACGTCCAAAAAAAGATGTGGCCACTATAAGTACACTTATAACGACCAGATCTAGGTCCCTTCGTTAAAAAGTGATCGTTAAAAGTCAATTTTCCTATAGTGTAATGCTTAGATCTCCACATTCAATTACATGCTTCAAGTTTGAGCTTCACATTCAATAAAGTCCAAAGAGGTACGTGGATATCAAAATAAACCAAAGAAAATGAAGATTTCAGCAGTAGCAACAGAGTAAGTGAATCAGCAGATCAAACACAGCAATGTTCAGCTCCTTAGACCATTTTTAACCCAGATAAACAGGAATTCCTTGAAGCTTTTGAATTCTGACTAATAATCAAAGACTAAAGAGCAAAATCAAGACCAATTTCGACCCCAAAAGATGCAGGAATTTTTAGTATTTTTCAGAGTAGGAATCGCTGCCCCAAAATGAAGGGAAAGAGGTCTTATATAGGCATGCCTAAGGCAGCCCTAGCCTAACTAACCATTTCCCCTTTTACCCCTTGAATTCTTGGTTGTTTTACCCTTTTTACCCTTTTAAAATATCTGACCCTCCCTTATCTATTAACAAACCAGCTCTAAATTTAACCTCTAGAAGCTTCCTCCCAACAGAAAATGATTCCCTACCCTCAACTACCTAGAACACCCCCTGACAGCCTTATTTTTACTTTCAGAAAATCAAACCTGGGTCAAAATAAACCAAGACCCAAACCAAAACCGTGGGCTTGTGTACTCACAGCCCACCCTGAATTTCAAACCATCGAAATGAGCATTGAAGCTCAAATTGTGACCCAGGCTGAATTAAGGTCAAATTGAAAGAAGAGGGAATAAAACAAAGAAAAAGAAATCTGATTCAAACAAGCACTTCAATAAGCTAAGTAATAATTCAAAGTTACTGACTAACCCTAAACAAATTCGGCCAAACCGAAAAATCAAACAGTAAAATAACAATAAAATATTAATTCTAATCATGCGATTAAACTAAACAACCCATTTTAACTAATAAATCACAAACAGACTGATTAAAAGAGGAATAGAAACAGGCACAACAAGAGTGGGAGTATGCATACGAATTTGGCCGGAAAACTGAGCAAACAAACAGAGAATTGGTGAACGGCAACTTTTGACGAGGTTTGGCCGGTTACTTTGACTTTGCATGGAATCCGACGGGCCTTGAAATGAGCTAAAATTGATACTGATCAATTGTTCTCATCAAGAACAATTAATCGGCTAAACTCCAACTCAAATCGAACCCTAAAACCGCTTCAATTTCTGAAAAGGAGACAAATTAGGGTTTTCGATTTCAAATTTGAAATTGGGACAAGTGGGTGAGGATTTTGGGGAATGTTACGATGGATTAGGAGAAGGGAGTGGGTGATGATTGTAGGGTAGTAGTTTAGGGTCGATTGTGTCATGTCGCCGGCCGGTGGGGTGCTTGGGAATTTGGGGCGTCGGGTTCTAGGGTTTAAGTTCAAAGACGGAGAAGGGACTGAGGGGGGATTCGGACTAGGGGTGGGGGGGGGGGGGATCTCTTCAGACACTTAAATGTAAAAAGAAGCCTCAGTTCCGGGCCGTTGGATTATGAAAATCCAACGGCTAAGATGGTACCAACTGAACGGGGTCGTTTTTGGGCGGGGGTTGCTGGACCGGGTTGTTCCGACTTGGGCCTGGATCGGGGAAATATTTTGGTGGGTTTCCACTGAACTGGCCCAATTCGGGGCTTTAAATCAAATCACAATTTTCCTTCTCTTTTTTTTCATTGTTTTTCTTTTCCTTTTTAATTAATTATAACTTAAATGAAAACTCCTAAAAATAATTAATTTGAAACAAAACTAAGTTGATCCACTACTGAAATATTTATGAAAATTAATTACTCCTAAATTAAAAAGAAAATTACAAATTTAAATTAAAAGGCTAGAAATGCAAAAATAAGCCAATTTTGTGATTTTTATTTTTTAATAAAGCAACTAATTTACTAATTAACCTTAAAATGTAAAAATAAATCCTAAATGCACATGCATGGTATTTTTGACATTTTCATGATTTTTAACAAAATAAAAATACACAAAAATGCAAACAATTAGCACAAATTCCCACAAAATCCTATAAAATAGTAAAAATGGAAAAAAATCATTTCTCTTGTATTTTATGGGAGTAATTCACGTAGGGCAAAAATCACGTGCTCACATCGGTTATACTTGGTGGAAAGAGGATCTCCGTATCATACATGAATCTTGCACAAAAGTAGGGTGTTCGCGGTTCGGTTTGGATCGATTTTTGCTTAAAACTAAACCAAATCAACAAAGACGAATTTTTCAATATTCAAACCAAACCAGATCAATACATTATAAATTTTATCGATTTGGTTCGATTTTTTGCGAGTTTTTTCAATTTTTAAAGATATAGTTTATAATGCAAAAAAATTTGATATAAGTGAGATTCAAAAGGCAAACGCATAACAACCAGCCTTTTAATAAAATAAAGTTTTGAAGCTCTCCAATTATAGTTACATGCTCTAGTCTATCTTATTCCTATGCGTTTAACATCCCTGAGGTATTTTGTTTCCAAGGACTTATGCAATCTTTTTTATTTAAATTTTATTAATTTCTTAATCAACTAACTTGTACTCTGAATAGGGGTCGGGATAGTTCGGATTTTGCAATTACCAAATCAAATCGATTGTGTCGGGTTATTAAATCTAAAAACCAAACCAAACTAATAAAACTCGGGTTTTCAATCTCGAATTTTCGGGTTATTTTTTTCGGTAAAATCTTCGTAGCACAAAACATATAACTTGTGCTCAAAATATTTCTTTAATCCTAGTAAAATACAACTATATCCTGTATTTTCCAAGAAAATAATACAAAATATGAGAATGTGTCATGTCATTATTCCAAATATTCAACAATAAGGACAATAAAATTATGTTATATAAAAAATTGCTAAATAAAATGCCATAATAAAAATAAACATAATCTAAAAGTATTGAGTCATGCTTAGATAAGTAAACTTATAAGAAAGTATTAATTACATGACTAAACGCTAAAGAAAAAATAAAAATATGTTATGCATTTTTATCTAAATTATTGCAAAACAAAAAAAACATATTCGATATACATTGCCGTTCGTAATATTGAATTGAATGTCTTTCTGTTAGCATTAGTATTAATTTAATTTTGGTTTGAGCTTTTGTTAGCATTATTTAAGCTACTAATATTAATGGCTATAAAACTTATTGGGACATTCAAAAGTTCAAAGTCCAACCTTGAAATAACACCTTAAAAAGATAAATTATGAAAAGTTCAAGAAATATTTATAAATTATATCACAATAAGTATACTTATATATTAAATATATCTAAAATTTCTATATAATGTCGGATTAGTTTGATTTCGTTTAACTCTCTTTAGTTAAAATCAAAACAAATCAATTATGATCAAATTTTTTCCCAACACCAAATCAAATCAAACTAAACTATAGTCGAATATTTTCTCTCGATTTGAGTCTCTCTTTAGTTAAAATCAAAACAAATCAATTATGATCAAATTTTTTCCCAACACCAAATCAAATCAAACTAAACTATAGTCGAATATTTTCTCTCGATTTGACTCAAATTATCGAGTTGGTGCGATTTATCGATTTTCTTTGTACGCCACTAGTTCTGACAGTAATATATATATATATATATATATATATATATATATATATATATATATATATATATTGGCCCGATATTTTTGGATTTAATACTAAATCAAACCAAATATTATCGGTTTTTTCAAATTTAAATCCAAAACTAAACGAACCGAGTGATTATCGATTTATTAAGTCGGTTTGAATCGATTTACCGGTTCGGATCAGTTTTTCGGTTTCATTTGAATACCCCTACACAGAAGAAGTGACAAAGTCGTTTTTCGGTTTCATTTGAATACCCCTACACAGAAGAAGTGACAAAGTCCTAATTCGAATAGCGTAAATGGTGCTTGAACTACAATAAGCTGCCATAAGATGTAAACACATCCACCGTGAACTGTTCACCACCTAAATACATAATTGGTAATGATATTACAATGTATACACAACTCAAAAGGAAACTACAGAGAAAACTATTCACATAATTGTTGCCAGATTAATACACCAAGACACCGAAACAGAATTCTATAGATTTTAATAGTGTACATGAGCATCGTTGAAGCTATAATTGAATATCTAAAACAACATTTAGCTGCCACACGATGTATACATTAGTCATGAACCGTCCAGAACTAAATGGCAAATTAAACTAGCATATGTGCTTGGTCAACATAATAGAAGGTATACAACTCAACAGAACTACCTATGGAAACAAAATCAGCTAAGACTATCTTGAGTCAGATTAGCTAAGAAGCAGCGCCTGCCTCCTATTACACAAGAAAATCTTCAACTCACAAGCTTGCTCGGTTCTGTTTCTATCAGACTTCTGCCTGAGAAAGCAGAAGTGGAATGATATGCACATATGTAGAAGAAGAGGTGATAAATTTCAGCATTAACATAATATAGAAGAAGAGGTGATAAATTTCAGCATCAACATTATGCATGTAAATCGTGCTTAAATGGATGCAATTTCTTTCTAGAAATGATCCATACAGCTCTCAAAAGTAGGATTGCAGACTAGACAAGGTACAAACAACAGCACAGCTGATAATCTGTTTACTGGCAAGTGTTCCCAACATTGCGACTTGAGAAGAAGAGAAGTTAGAAGTGTGACATCGAAGAGGATAGACGAACAACAAATTAAAGCCATCCAAGTCCTTCTGTATCCGTGTCCCACTTCACACTTAGAGATCAAAACGGGGATCTAAGACCGATCATGCATGTTGCTCGATAAGAATATCACGACATCTCCCTACTACAACTAAATTCACTATTGACTAAATATAGCCCTTGTTGAGCATTTGTGAACTACTATTTCACTGTAACAACTGCTACACTAATCAAGGACAAATCTCAGATGTACCACTGTTTGTCTGAGCAGAGTTTGCTTTACAGATACTTCGTATAAAATGACTCCATAGCTTTATGTCCATAACAGAGTCCATAGCTGATCAACCCAGTGATCTGCACATGGGGAAAATGCTGCACCGATTAAGACATAAAGCAGGAGATAGACCGGTATTAAATTTTCTGATGGTGGTGTCCTCGACAGCTTGTGCACACCTTGATAGACCGGTATTATATTTTTTGATGGTGGTGTCCTCGACAGCTTGTGCACAACTTGACTATTCCGGTTGAATATAGCTACTACCTATAGCTAGTACCTACTTTATCTACCAGGAATTAGGCAGATGGGAAGAAAACACCTATCTTTGTGTTCATCTGCTGGGAATTGTACCTGAGACCACTATTTTAACAATCCCTGAATGCTTCAAGCCAAAAGTCTCACTTGAACAACATTAGCCTGGACATCCACTACTAGGCTGAACTGGTGGCGACACACTTGAGCCTAAGCACTTCCCCATGTAGCCAACCACAACAATCTAATATATGTTCCTATTGTTTCTATTCTGATAAAGGAGAATTACGGTATCACGAAACCAGGCCAACCACAGCTAGGATTGAACTTATGAACTCTGTACAGGTCTCCAGTGCAAACAGGGGTAGTTGAGGCATGTTTTAGGTACTTCTGAGGTTAGCTTGGCTCAAGTCAAAGGTTGTGACTATACTTTCAGCTCCAAGAAATCCTCAAGGCCCCTATTATGGTAACTGATCAGTCTACAGGAAACCGTCAAATATAAAAACCACCCTCTACCCCAGGAGCCAGGAACGCTTCTAAGGATTAGGTGCTTCCTAGAATCGAAATACAGATTGTCTTGTCTGACTCCTTGAAGGTGATATCTTCCAAGAATTGGAACATGAACCTCGTCTAACTCACTTAACAGTGATGTCTTCCTAGACTTGGAGCCAAGCTCAGGTTAAAAACAACAAAAAAGTTATAATTACTAGTAATTGTGAAATCTGGCATCATGAGGAACAAAACAACATAGTCAAAGTGATGATACTTGGGCAAGCCAAGGGAGAAAGTCTTCTCTAAAAGTAGACCCTAATGAAAAACCAAAGGACAGAGCCATGAAATATCCTGACAGCCCAAGGGCACTTGGGCAAGCCAAGCCCTCCCACTAAAGGATAGAAGGGAAAGAGAAACGACTAAATCAAACCAAACAACCATACAAATAAGGCATGGAATTGCGAAACATAAGAGAAATTAGAAGAGTCGAACGAGTGTTCATACTTGAGGATGTAACTTGCAGATGAAGGTCAGCAGTTTTGGTAAATCATATGCTTCACAGTTTCTCTACGCACCCGAGTCCGGGTGACCATAGTGCTCCTCGCATCAGGAATACCATCCATGTTTTGATCTTCACGAACTACATTTACCGTCTTCCTACCAGGTTCATTTACTCTTTCAGTCCTTCCTTTTATCACATCAGCAGATCTCTTTTTGTCCATCTCTTCTTGTATGGTAACTGGCCCTACAATATAGGAAAACAAATAATAAGAATAGCCTTAAATGGTGAGATTAAAGAGGTGCAATTCAATTATGTGAACAAGATGCTACCCAACCCACAATCACAAAACGCAAAAATAGATAGTGAGTGAATACTGCTTGCACCAAAGATAGTATTCTCAGCTCCTCTCTGCAATTAGTCAAAACACTATCAAAAAAGACCTAATCAAATATATAAAATTGAAAGAATCTGAGAGATGCTTTGTATATCTAGCAAACACAAAAGTTCAACAGAAAACGTAGTCATCTAATTCTTTATATCTTCCGCATAACAGAAACGTTTAACAGGAAAAAAAGTCATCTGATGGTTAATCAGCAAATAAAGATGACCAAGAACAAAAATTAAATGGAGATATGCTGGCGTGAAAGTTCCAGAGAACCATCTGTAATCCTAATTATCTTCCATTTTGACGGTTAAAAATCACTGATCTTTCATATCAGTCAAATCACAACGCCCACACCCCCCCCCCCCAACCCCCAATAAAAAAAAAAAACTTTCCCTTTGTTGAACCTTATGAAAACATCAAGTAAGGGCAATTGAATAGGCTAGACTCTGGGAGTTTCAAGCGATTGGTGTAGATAAAATTAGTGTTTTCAGGGACAATTATGCATGTCCCTAACGCGGACAAAGGATAACTCAACCAATGTAGTTGTTGTTCTCCATCCATGGAATGATAACACATCCCTTTGGGTGGTCAATTTTCTCATGTTGTCAATCTATCCTAATACTTACTAACAACCAGAAACGTTTGAAATCAACTTGCGATAACTACTTGAACCTCAAAAAGTAGTACTAAGTAATATACTGACACAAACACGGGATGAAAATTTCATCTCATTATCAGCTTAAGAATGTGAGATTAACAGAATACTTTCAAGTGAAAAGATTGTACCTTTAGATACCTGAACCGTTTCAGCAGGGATATCAGCCGAATCCCAAGGTTGTGAAATAACCAAGGGAGCATACAAGTAGGTATCGGACTTCAAATAATCCCCAATTTCGCTAACCAATTTCTTATCAATTCCCTCCTTAGGTTTACTTTCCTCAATTCCTGGAAACAGAACAAACATTCAAAATATCAATTCACCATTTCCCACATTTCACAAATCAAAGGGGAAAAATTACGTCCTCTGCCCCATTCTAGACAATATCATATTCATTGTGGAGGAATTAAAAGAAAGTACTCACCGGTAGGAGCAAAAGACGACGACTCTGCTGAAGGGAAATGAGAGAGTTGAGAAGAAAACAGAGGTGCAAACATAAAAGAGTCAGACTTGAGATAATCCAAAACTTTGCTAAAGAGTTGATTCTTCTTTTTATTATTGCTGTGTTTCTTCATGGGTTTCTTCTTTAGGTGAAATGCTGAGAGCAACGCCGCTTCCTTACCCATTTTTGCTGTTCAGAAGAGAGAAACGAGAGAGAGAGAGAGAGAGATTTGCCGGGAAAGGAGAAAAGGGAGAGGAAAATGGGAGAGTTAATTCAGGCGGTGGCGGTGGAAGTTAGGCGGTTATGTGGTGATGGGTGCAACGTGTGCTTACACTTGGCAAATAACAAAGAAGCCATCTGGCAAGGTGGGATGCGCTTTTCCTCAACCCAACTGTTTTTTCTCTTTTTCCTTTTTACTATTATCCGTACTCGCACGATGCGCGGGGAATTATAAAATTAAAAAATAATAAAAAATATTACTTGAAATGGTAATGAAAAGTGATCAAAAATAATATGTTATTGGTTAATGAAAGTAACAATCTCTACTTCTTAAACCGTATTTGGAACAAAAAAAAAAATAGTCACAATCTTTAAGACTCTACAATATATGTAACAAAATCACTGTCTCTGTTCAATTAGCTTGAATTTATTACATAAAATAAAATAAAATAATGAGCTTTACGAACAAAGCATTCTCGTCGAACTCCATCTTTCTCTGGAATATAAATCTAAGCAAATGCAAACTGAACTCACTTTTCACAACAAATTCCACGAAATAGTTTGCTTTCTCTGGCTAGAAACTTTATCTGACAAATGAATTCATGTAATGACCAAAGATCGAACATCAAAGATCAAACTTTGGATAAACTTGTATGATTTCTGTCTTCCACAACCAAAGTTGTTGTTTCTCAGTGTATGACTTTACACTTCCTGAATTGTTAACTCGATGCGAAAAACTCAACAAAAATATTACAACAATGATGAAGACAGAATTTGGCAAAGAAATACGGGCAATGTTACATTCACATATGTAAGATCATGCCTAAACTAACTGAAAGGGTAGTGTTTCTTTGCATTTAGAGTCGCGCAAATTACAAATTTTAATTCATGTAGTTTAATCATTCCTAATACTTTATGAGTTTTAATGAGAATACTCCATTTTTTAAAACAACCGCATCTGCTAAGAATAAAGGCTAAACTGATATGAAAGAATTCTAAAAAAAAAAATCTTCCTTTCACTATTTAAATCGAGGAAACAAAAACAAAAACTTAAGAAATTCTTTCTTGTGTTTTAAAGATTTTAAAGAAGGGAAAAGTTTTATGTATTACGTTAATAAAAACAAAGTATAATACAATAGTATTGAATTTATATAAAAGATAGATCCTAGTAAATTGAATAACTTAGCCTAGTTATAGAGAATTAATTTTAGAAATGAAAAATCAGATCTTTTGGCCGAAAACATTCTTAAGCTGCCAAAATCTATGCAATATCCTTAAGTATCCATGTGGACAAAGGATATCCATAAATCTTATCAAAGTTAACAGATCTTTAATTGCACACTTTAAAAATCAAATAAAACCCACAATCATTGTGCATGACATCCCACTGTCATACTAAAGATATTAATTGTTTGATCCCTCAAATTTTGTTTATAAACTACATATATACATCAACCTATTTGTTATATACATCAACCTATTTTTTATATCAAGTTGTATTTCGTTAGATTGTAATGAGCCACTTGACAACATAATGTTAACTCAAACTGAAGCACTTACCTGGAGTAGTTTTGAATGCTAAAATTAGTGTTTTGATGCTTCCTTCAGATTCATGTTCTTATAGCTCTGCCTTCTCAGCAATGTTCAAGAAGACTTCTTAGCATTGTAAGACATATGGATGTCCATATGCCATCCATTTAACTAATTTCTATCTCAGCAAAGAGCTTCTGATGCAGACGTGCACACATACACACACATGTAAATAGAATATCAGAAATGTTATAATATTAATACGTCTTCTGATTCTCCTTGTCGTGAGGAACAACAAATGCCAAGCATGACTTATCTTCCTCTTTTGATGTGACATCTAAGTCAAGTCAAACAAAAAACTTAAGTTAGGAGCATGGGTTTATTAATAGTAAAAAATATTAAGAAAAAATTCTTGGTAAAAGGACATGTCTGAAGAATTCTTTGACAATCTCAATACATTTCCTGTCTATCATATTACTTGTGGAATTCACATCGTCAAGACAGTAAAGTATGCCCTTTTACATAACTCCAATTTGATAAAATAAAATATTAACTTCCTCCATAGAATGTGTTGTCAAAATGATTGAGCGCACTTGCTTTATAGCGCCAATAACACTTGCAATGCTATGCCTATTAAAAGTGTCGAAGGCTTCTGTAACCTTAGATTCGTTATGATGTTTGACTTTAGAGTTGCTACATAATTAAGTATGATATCGACGAAAATAGTTTTAGTTTTTGTAAAGATTGAATTGTCACATGATAATGTTATTACTTACTAGTATCTCTTACTTTTATATGTAAAGTATACTGTCCTTGCATAATTTTGTCACAATATGCTTCAGAGTTAAGTCTCAATGTGATAATGTCCCATTCCTACTTTGAGTTAAAAACTTGATAGTGTTAAAAACTTTAATCTGAAAGGCTACCTTCAAAATGTTTATGTGTATCCTGTTTTCAAATGGCAATGAGGACTTCATGAACAAACTGGAGATTGATAGCATGATTTTCCCCACAAAACGCTAATCAAGATTAAATACACCAGTGCCCAGCAAAATTAGCGCTGACTCGTATCCGTCACTTCCTGATGAGTTAAGTCTCAATGTCCCAATCCTACTCTAAGTTAAGAATATGTAGATAGTCATATATATATATATTCAGCATTCACACATGGAAAGAAAAAGTCAAAAACAGAAGGGAGTACATCACCTGAGATGAATAATTACAAAATGATGATCAGATGCTTAGCAATTTACTCATCGAACAACGAAAAATCACAAAGAACGATTTTGGATGCAATTTTCCCCGGATAAACTTGTATGATTTCTAGATAAACTTGCTAAGATCATGCCTAAACTAACTGAAAGGGTAATGTTTCTTTGCATTTAGAGTCGCGCAAATTACAAATTTTAATCCATGTAGTTTAATCATTCCTAATACTTTATGAGTTTTAATGAGAATATTCCATTTTTAAAAACAACCCCTTCTGCTAAGAATAAAGGCTAAACTAATATGAAAGAATCTATATATATAGAATAGGAAAGGCAAAACAATATTAGAATGCCAAGTGGCACAATCACAATTCAACAAGTGTATAATTTTAGGACAAACTTCCAATACATTTGGAAATTCAAAAATAATTTAAAATAGAAAATAATTTGAATTTTTTAAACCTTCCCACTTAACTACAACATGGACTCCCACGTTGGATTCAAACTCTTTTTGAGCATTTTTTAAAAATTATTTACTAAACCTTAAAATTAAAAAAAAAATATTACTCCAAGTCTAAATCATTAAATTTACTTTTTCAGACGTTGCGAAATGTAGTGAAATACTTTTTAAAAAATTAATTTACATATTTGATACTGTACTTTTTAAAATTATTTATTCAACCTGAAAATTCAAGAACATAATATTTACTCCAAGCTTAACTTATTAAATATACTTTCTCAGAAATTGCGAGAATGTAGTGAAATAGTTTTAAAAAATTATTGTACATATTTGATATTATATCTTATCATCTAAAAGACAACACGGTAATAAGCTTAATAGCCTGTTTGGGGATTGTGTTTATTTTCCTTTAAAAAAATGTAACGATCCGACCCGTCGTTACGGGAGTTACGGCCCCGTTTTCCCCGTTTTATGCTCCTATATATTTCATTATATGTGTTTGGAGAATTTGAAGTAATTCGGTTAGAGTTCGGTTAGAAATGAGACAATAAGTCTCTTTATGAGAAGGTTAGTTTGGAAAAGTCAACCGAATGTTGACATATGAGTTAGAAGGCTCGGAATGGATTTCCGATGATTCNATTTTTCGGTGAAAGAAAAAAGGGAACTATACGTTTTTTCTAATCCAATATATGCAAGAGGAGAAATTCAGTTAGTTTTTAAAAGGAAGGGGAGTGGAGGAAGTGGGAGTAGTTGGTGGTTTTTATTGGTAGTTTCTATTGCTTGAAAAATTTAAAATTTTTGAATTTTGAAAAAAAACGTGTCTTTCACATCTATTTTTAAATAAATTTGAATTTTGAAACTCCAAGAAAGTTGGAGGATTGTCCAAATCTTTTACATGTGTCAATTTAATGTTATGCCACTTGTCATCATAATAGTTCTTTGCCTCTCCTATTATATATTAATAGATTAACCATTATTAATATATGGTAATGTTGTACCGTTTGAACCAACAAACTCATAATCACACACACACACTCAACTGCTCCCTCTTTCTATCTATTATGAGCCAAGAGGGCAACGATGCAATGGAGTTTTTTGGGAGGCTGACAAACATTTTCAGAGTTCTTAAAAACTCAAGTGATGTGAATCTGTTTCTTAGTAATTTCTCAACATTTTGTTAAGCCGTTTCAGAAGAGAAGTTGTTCCAGATGTTGCTATAGTGTTTATCTTGTGAATACCAGATAGTTTTGCTGCTTTGTTTTAAATAATTCTTAATATGTCCCCTTGCTTCTGACAACACGTAAGTTATTGGGTTTTCCTTGTAACAGATTATACATATAATCTCTTTCTTATTTCATTGATGATCTACCTTCTTCATTTTGTCTTTCACTGACTGTATTCCACATTTTAAAAAACTTTTCTTTCCTGGTTTACTAACTTCACTGAACTTTTCAAATGTAGCCAGCAGTGGAAAGTGGAAGAATGACTTTACAGTATATATGCAAATTTGGATGGAGGGAAGGCTTCTGGGAATTGATGTAAGGATTAATATGTTGTTACCTGTAGTCTCATTCCGATATAGAAGGAAGTTTTGTGTAGTCTCGTTCCGATATGTTTACTTTAATGTGATTTTTCTGTGATTATTATTAGAAGAATTTTTTTTGTACTATATAAGTTTAGTGTTAATATTAAGTCAACTTTTTATACCTTTGAAATCTTTTGTGATTTTTTTTTTCCTCATTCCTTTCAATTCTCATTAATATTCTCTGTAAATTCAAAACAGAAAGCAACCTACAAATAGAAACTGGACCCAGTTATATGGCACATCTTATAAGCCATCAAAGGTACATT